GTAACCCTTCTCACAAACACTGCTAACAACTACACACATACAGACAGTGTATATAAAAATGTAATTCACAACAATTCCACACGATTTGTGTGGTTTTGCATTATTTATGACCAGTTATTAGGCTTGAAATGGGTATCAATTGATCGCTTGTTTTAATCATAATTTATATTTAATAATGAAATAATATATAAATTAATGACATTATAATAGGTTAGAGAAAACATCCACTCATTTGGCGGAGATAGGGATCGGATCACTATTTTTGGCCAAAGCGCCGGCAGTTGGTCCGTATCGGCACAAATACTTTCCCCGCTCTCAAAAGGTATGTTTAAAAGGGCTATTGTGCAAAGCGGTGCCGTTATGTATAACAAGGACAGGGATGTGGTCAACAAAACTGAGGCCATATCTCAGGGCAAAGCAATAGCGAAACAATTGAAATGCAATGAAACCGAGGATTGGATACAATGTCTGCGAAGAGCGGACGCCAACGATATAGTGAAACACATCAACCTTTTCGCCACTTACCCGGTGTTTGGCACAGAGTTTTTGCCCCTTCGTGCCCGACAAGCCTTCAATGAGAAAAAGTTTAATACAGGTAATTAATAAACAACTAATGATATTATTATATTATACAATTTATTAATCAGTATTTGTTACTAATTAATTAATAATTTATAATAGTTTATATTTATGGATATATCTTTACATTTATAAAGTTATAATAATTTCCACATAACTTTTATTTATTTTAAAATTTTTGTTTAAAAAAATTATCTAAATATTTGCACAAATAATGCAAAACCACACAAATCGTGTGGAATTGTTGTGAATTACATTTTTATATACACTGTCTGTATGTGTGTAGTTGTTAGCAGTGTTTGTGAGAAGGGTTACAATTAATTAATTTATGGCTTAAAGTTAAAGTTAAGTATTTTAAAAATAGATAAAATATAAATCCTAAATACTAAGAAATATTTCTATTTACGTTTGCACATTTAATATCATAATTAAATTAATCATATTTACAATTAATTATTTAATCATGTTTTATTTTCATCTTATTCATATACAATTAGAAATTGATTTAATCGCTGGCATCACAAGCAATGAGGGCGCATATTTTGTTCCCTTTCTAATAAAAGATCCTGCTCATATGACACTCGCCGATTTTAACAACGGACTAAAAACTATAGACTCTTTGGGTTTTCACAATATAAATGTGCCAAAAGTAACGGAGTATTTCTTGAAAGGTGTCAATACTAGCGATTCATTAGCCCTCTGGACAGCGTTGGGGGCAATATATGGTGATATATATCTCGGTTGTACGACATATCTGTTCGCCAAACGATTCGCACAAACTGTCAAAGAGTCGCAAAGGGTTTACTTTTATGAGTTTTTATACGCAAGTAATTGGTTTGCAAAACAGGAGGGTTGCGATGTAACGACCATGGGCATTTGTCACGGCAATGATGTACCATTTGTATTTGGTCTGCCATTACTTAATCCCGACGATTATATTCCCGAAGATATCTATTACAGTAATGTTGTGATGAAAATGTGGACTACATTTGCTAAAGACGGGTAAATAACAGTATAAAACAATTAATCTAATCTGAATAGAAATATTGCTTGAATATTATATTGCATTTAATTCTCATGATGATCAATTTAGTCATATAGACTCTGATTGGCCACAATTTCTAAACGATGACCCGATGGGTGCGCCCAAAGTCCGCGGTTTAGACCCAAAGGACTTACGGCTAGTACTGAAAGACCCGTTTCATGAAACATGTGATGGCGTGTGGGCCGACTACTTCCTATAGGCCAAAACAAATTACCTTAATGACATTTTAATATTTATTAATTATAAAATTTTAATAATAAAAATAAAATAATATTTACAAAATTCTATTACACGAATAAAATAACGATAAACTTTAACAAATAATTTTTTCCTATTAATTTAATCTTGTGAAACTAATTAAATCCGATCTAGTATAAGTAATCTTAATAATAATCTTACAAATTAAATCTTAGATCACAAAAAGTGAATTTTAAAAATAATAAATTTTGTTAAATATAAAACATTATTATCAGATATTCTGTATTATAAGTTATAATTTATAAATTAAATAGTCATAGTATTTATATATTTACATAACTATTTTAATATTTATTAAAAATATTTGTACAAAATTAATTACAAATTACAAAATTTTAACAAAAATGTTAAAAGTGCAAATAATAATGCCTATACAAAAGTGAGCATTTTTAAAAGCTACACAATGTGTAACTAATAATGTGTAACAATGGGAACAAGTGCACTAAAATGATATTATGTGAACAGTATATACAAGGTACATTTATAGAAAACAGTTAAACCACTTAAAAAGTGTACAAATAAAGTAGAAAATTATTGCAATAAAAATGTATATAAAGGTAACAGAATGACTGAAACTATAACTTCTAATTTTGTTTAATTTGATGTTATATTATTTTAAATTTAGTGAATGAGTATGTGTTATTATAAAATTGTTAAAATATTTATTTTATATTTAACATTAAATACTGTGAATAGTATTGATGTGAACACCAGTATAGGAGTAGTGAGGGGTCGGACACTACATGTGTTGGACACAAATGTGAATCAATTTCTGGGCATTCCTTACGCCGAACCCCCGGTCGGCAAACATAGGTTCGCAAAACCCAAACCCATTACTAAACCATTTCCGGTAAGTATTATACTGTATATTACAAAACAAAATTTTATTGATATAAAAGTTGATTAAAAATAAATTTAGTTTACGCTAATAACGACTGTAATAACATTATTATTTTATAAATTGTTCTAAACTTACAAATTATCATAACTTCTAGGATATAATCGATGCGACAAAACTTAAAAATTCATGCATACAACCACCAAATATATATATTACACCGGAATTACATTACAGTGAAGATTGTCTGGTGCTTAACATATGGACAACAAATACCACAGCATTAAAACCAGTGATGTTTTGGATATATGGCGGCGGACTTACTATGGGATCAATATTTCAAGAGTGGTATAACGGGAGCGCTTTGGCCACCAATGATGTGGTGGTTGTGTCCGTCAATTATAGGTTAGGACCGTTTGGGTTCCTATACGGGGATCGGGAGGACGCGCCCGGAAATGTTGGACTCTATGATCAGTTATTGGGCCTGAAATGGGTATCAATTGATCTCTTTTGTAATCATAATTTATATAAAATTAATAAAAAATAGTTTATATGAATTAATGATTTAATAATAGGTTAGAGAAAACATCCATTTATTTGGCGGAGATAGGAATCAGATCACCATTTTTGGTGAGAGCGCCGGGAGTTGGTCGGTGTCCGCACACATACTCTCCCCGCTATCCAAAGGCCTATTCAAGAGGGCTATTATGGAGAGCGGGGCTCTTATGTTCAACAAGAATAGAAATGTGGTCAACAAAACTGAAGCCATATTAAAGGGCAAAAATATTGCCAAACAATTGAAATGCGATGAAAGCGAGGATTGGATACAATGTCTGCGAAAAGCGGACGCCAGAAATATAGTGAAATATGAAACCACCATGTTCACTTCCCCCGTATTAGACACTGAATTTTTGCCCTTATCTGCCCGACAAGCATTTAATGAGAAAAAATTTAATACCGGTAATTTAAAACAATAATTTACTTTATATTTAACAAAAATCCTTGAATTTCAACTTTATTTTGATATACGTCCATAATTTACTGATTATGTGTAAATAAAATTAACTTTAAATAGATATTGATTTAATCGCTGGCATCACCCGAAACGAGGGCATAGGATATGCTGATTATCTGACCGCCCACCCGGAGCGCATGACACTCACCGACTTTCACAACGGGGTAAAAGCCATGGATTCCTTGGGTTTTCACAACATAAATATACCGAAAGTGACGGAACATTACCTGAAAGGTGTCAAGTTGTTGTACGAGTATTACGAGTTGTTGTACGCGAGTAATTATTTTGGTAAACAAATGGCTTGTGATGTGCCGACCATGGGCATTTGTCACGGCAATGATGTACCATTCGTATTTGGTTTGCCATTACTTAAACCCAACGATTATACTCCCGACGATATCTATTATAGTACTGTTTTGATGAAAATGTGGACTATATTTGCTAAAGACGGGTAAATAAGAGTTTTAAAAATTAAATCACAATAAACTTATATGATTATAAAATCTAATCTACATAGAAATATTGCTTGAATATTATATTGCATTTAATTCTCATGATCAATTTAGTCAAATGGACTCTAATTGGCCGCAACTGTTAAACGATGAGCCGATGGGTGCGCCCAAAGTCCACGGTTTGGACCCAAAGGACTTACGGCTAGTATTGAAAGACCCGTTTCATGAAACATGTGATGGCGTGTGGGCCGACTACTTCTTATAGCAAATACCTTAGTGATCGCAGAGAACATGTGTAAATTTTGAACATTTACAAATTTAATATTGTTACCTTAATTAAAATAATAATCTAATAAATTGACATTGTTAATGTTTGTTTTTGTCTCTTAAAATAAAACATTAAACCTCCAAAGTCTCTAATTTTACATAATATCCCAAACAACAAGTTTATCACAAATTAAAACTATGTTTATATCAATTTCACCAAATGCAATATTGAACAAATAATAGATTATTAGTAATAGAAATAAGGTTAGCATAATTGATAAATGGATTAAAATTCATATGAAATATTTCAACAATAACTTGAAATTGAAATTATAATAAAATGAATTACTGTTAAAACAAAAATAGTGATTGAATTCTTGAAATTAATTTCACTACACATTTACAAGCAAACAATTACTGCATAATAAACTTACCCGGATTACCAATAAAGAGAATATCAATCTTATATAAACTTATCGTAATGTTTCAAACTAACTAAGTTATAAGAACTGTTAAGTTATGATTTTGCTATATTATAAATATTATTAAATTAAAACCAATATGTTTAGCGTTCAGAAAATTGTAATATTCATTGTATATTTGACATTAAATAGTGTACATAGTATTGATGTGGACACTCGTATAGGAGTAGTGAGGGGTCAGACACTACATGTGTTGGACACAAATGTGGATCAGTTTGTGGGCATTCCATACGCCGAACCCCCGGTCGGCAAACATAGGTTCGCAAAACCCGAACCCATTTCTAAACCATTTCCCGTAAGTTTTACATTATTTTATTTAATATCTAATAGATATTAAAATAAGAGTTTAATAAAATAAATCATTACAAATGCAAAACACTATTGCAGAACATAATCGACGCAACAATGCCTAAAAACTCATGCCTATCACCGATTCAATTAAGTCCGGACTCACCCCTCAGTGAGAACTGTCTGGTGCTTAACATATGGACAACAAATACCACAGCATTAAAGCCAGTGATGTTTTGGATATATGGAGGTGGGCTTGCTGCAGGGTCAATATATCAGCCAGAGTATAATGGGAGCGCTTTGGCCACCAATGATGTGGTGGTTGTGTCCGTCAACTATAGGTTAGGACCGTTTGGTTTCCTATACGGGGATCGGGAGGACGCGCCCGGAAATGTCGGCTTTTATGATCAGTTATTAGGTTTAAAATGGGTATTAATTCATTGCTTATTTTAGTCATATATACTATTTAATAATGAAATAATATATTAATGACATACTAATAGGCCAGAAGAAACATCCACTCATTTGGCGGAGATAGGGATCAGATCACCATTTTTGGTGAGAGCGCCGGGAGTTGGTCGGTGTCCGCACACATACTCTCCCCGCTATCCAAAGGCTTATATAAGAGGGCTATTATGGAAAGCGCAGCTTTTATGTTCAATATAGACAAGGATGTGGTCAACAAAACTGAGGCCATATCTCAGGGCAAAGCAATGGCTAAACAATTGAAATGCAATGAAACCGAGGATTGGATAAAATGTCTGCGAAGAGCGGACGCAAACGATATACTCAAATATTGGGACCCATTTGCCACTTACCCGGTGTTTGGCACAGAATTTCTGCCCATTCGCACACAACAAGCATTTAATGAGAAAAAATTTAATACAGGTACTGTATATTAAAAATGTGAATATTAAATTAACATTAATTGTTTAGTTTAAAACAATAGCATACATGCTTGGGCCTACAAGTTTAAGTAACCGTGTATAAATATCCAAGTTTACATTGTAAACACAACTAAAATAGAATATAGCCCAAGCATATTAGCCTGTTGTATTGTTTTAGTGTTAATAAATTCAAAAACTTTTAATCAAACTCACAACAATTTACTATAATATTATTTTATATGTAATTAATTAGATGTTGATTTAATCGCTGGTATTGTACGCAACGAGGGCTCAGCATTAACTGGAAGTGCGATCAAAGACCCTGATCATATGACAATCGCTGATTTTTATAACGGAATGAAAGCATTTGACGCATTAGGTTATCACAACTTGAATGTAACAAAAGTGGCGGACCATTACTTGAAAGGTGTCAACACTAGCAGTCCGGCAGCTCTACTCCAATCGTTTAGCTCACTTGCGGGGGACCTAACAATTGGTTGTCCGACATATCTGTTCGCCAAACGGTTCGCACAAACTGTCAAAGAGTCGCAAAGGGTTTACTTTTACGAGTTGTTGTACGCGAGTAAATGGTTTGCCAACTATAGTGGTTGTGATATATCGACCATGGGCATTTGTCACGGCATGGATATAGTATTTGTTTTTGGTCTACCACTGCTTTATTCCAATGTTTCCACGCCCGAAGATATCTATTACAGTAAAGTTGTGATGAAAATGTTTACTAAATTTGCAAAAGACGGGTAAATAATAGTTTTAAAAATTAAATCACAATAAACTTATATCTAAATCTTTACATAGAAATATTGCTTAAATACTATATTGCATTTAATTCTCATGATCAATTTAGTCATATGGACTCTTATTGGCCACAATTACTAAACAACGACCCGACCGGTGCGCCCAAAGTCCACGGTTTGGACCCAAAGGACTTAAGGCTAGTACTGAGTGACCCGTTTCATCAAACATGTGATGGCGTGTGGGCCGACTACTTCCTATAGCAAATACCCTGATGATCACAGTGAACATGTTTCAAAGACATTTTAATATTGTTACCTTAATTTAAATAATAATCTAATAAATAGACTTTGTTAATGTCTTTTAAAATAAAACATTAAAACTTTAAACTCTCAAATTTTACATAATATCACAAACAACTTGTTTATCACAAATTCAAACTTTCTTTATATCACTTTCACTAAAGCCATATTGACCAAATAATTAATTTAATGCATATTTTTAACTATGTTATATAAAACAACTTTATGCATTATTTAATTCATCCACTATTCATACCAGACACTATTAGTCAACACATACTTTATTTTAATCATTTGTGAAACACTTATCACATGAATTCCCATTTCAAGACATTTTGTGATAAAACACTTTCTTATTTGCTGCATAATGTACTTACCCGGATTACCAATAAAGATAATATCAAGCTTATATAAACATATCGTAATGTTTAAAACTCAATAAGTTAGGGGTGATTCGCAAATTACGTTCGCACTTTTTAAGAAATCTAGACCCCCTCCCTCCCCCTTGTTCGCAATTGTTCGCATGTAGCCATTTAAAAAAATATTACGTTCG